GTACCCCCCGGACCCCCGGATCACCCCCAGACCCCCAGTACTGCCCGGACCCCCAGTACTGCCCCCCTCCGATCACCCCCAGACCCCGGTACCCCTGGACTGCCGGTACTGCCCTCCCGATCACCCCCAGACCCCGGTACTGCCCCCCCCCCCGATCACCCCCAGACCCCGGTACCCCTGGACTGCCTGTACTGCCCCCCGGACCACCCCCAGACCCCGGTACTGCTCCTCCGATCACGCCCAGACCCCAGTACCCCCCAGACCGCTGGTACCACCCCCCAGATCACCCCCAGACCCCGGTACCCCCAGACCGCCTGTACTGACCCCCGCATCACCCCTGGGGCCGCCTCCAGACACCGAGACGCCCCCAAACCACCCCCCAGGGCTGGCTCCCCCTTTCTGGTACCCCCCAGCATTGCCCTCTCCCCCTCCCCTGGTACCCCCCGGGGGCTCCTGGTGCCCCGAGTCCCCCTCCAGTCCTCCCAGTGCCCCCCCGTTGGTGCTGGGGGACCCCTCTGGTATAGCCCACCCCCCAGGGAGAGCCCCAAACCCCCCCAATGTCCCCAGTTCTCCTTCGACCAGCCCCTCCCTGTACCGCCTCAGGCCTAACCCAAAATCACCCAAAACTGCCCTAAAATAAACCCCGGAAGCCCAAATTCACCCAAAACCACCCCAAAATCTACCCCGGGACCCCAAAATCCCCCAAAACCACCCCAAAATCCACCTCGGGACTCCCCGAATCCACCCCAGAAGCCTCAAAATCCCCCAAAACTGCTCCAAAAATCACCCCAGGACCCCCAAAATCCACCCTGTGACCCTCCAAATCCACCCCGGAACTCCCAAAATCCATGTGTGGACCTCAAAAAACCACCTCAAAATCCACCCCGGGACCCCACAATTCCCCAAAACTACCCCAAAATCAAATATGGGACTTCAAAAATCCCCCAAAACCGCCCCAAAATCCACCCTGGGACTCCCCAAATCCACCCCTCGAGCCCCAAAATCCCCCAAAACCTCCCCAAAATCCACCCCAGGACCACCAAAATCAACTCGGGACCCCCAAAATCCACCCCAGTACTCCCAAAATCCCCCCAAACCACCCCAAAAATCATAGAATCATAGAATCAGATGGGTTGGAAAGGACCTCTGAGATCATCAAGTCCAACCCTTGATCCACTACCACCACAGTTGCTAGACCATGGCACTGAGTGCCACGTCCAGCCTCATCTTAAAAACCTCCAGGGACGGAGAATCCACCACTTCCCTGGGCAGCCCATTCCAATGCCTGACTACCCTCTCCGGGAAGAATTTCTTTCTAATGTCTAACTTAAACCTCCCCTGGCACAGCTGAAGACCCAGCCCTCTTGTCCTACTGCTGATTGCCTGGGAGAAGAGACCAACCCCCACCTGGCTACAACCTCCTGTCAGGGAGTTGTAGAGAGCGATGAGGTCTCCCCTGAGCCTCCTCTTCTCAAGGCTAAACAACCCCAGTTCCCTCAGCCTCTCCTCATAGGACTTGTGCTCCAGTCCCTTCCCCAGCCTTGTTGCTCTTCTCTGGCCCTGCTCCAGCCCCTCCATGTCCTTCCTGAGCTGAGGGGCCCAGAACTGGACACAGTGTGACATTCGCCAACTTCCAATCATCTGGGACCTCCCCAGTGAGCCAGGACTGTTGGTAAATGATGGAGAGCAGCTTGGCGAGCTCTTCCGCCAGCTCCCTCATCACCCTGGGGTGGATCCCATCTGGTCCCATAGACCTGTGAGGATCCAAGTGGCTCAGCAGGTCGCTGATTGTTTCCTCCTTGATTACGGGGGGACTATTCAGCTTCATATTCCTATCTACATGCTCCAGAAGCCAGCTGTCCTCAGAGAGACCTGTCCTACCGTTGAAGACTGAGGTAAAGAAGGTGTTAAATACCTCAGCCTTTTCCTCATCTTTAATAACTATGTTCCCCCCCATGTCCATTAAAGAATGGAGGTTTTCCTTGTCCCTCTTTTTGCTACTGATGTATCTATAGAAAGACTTTTTATTTTCCTTAACAGAAGTGGCAAGACTGAGTTCAAGTCTTGCCTTTGTCTCTCTGATTTTCTTTCTACATGACCCAACTAAATTCCTGAACTCTTCCTGAGTAGCCAGTCCTTTTTTCCATAATCTTTTTCATCCTAATTTCCCTCAAGATCTCCCTGTTCAGCCAGGCTGGTTGTCTTCCCTGCCGGCTTGCCTTTCGGCACACTGGGACAGCCTGCTCTTGTGCATTTAAGACTTCCTTCTTGAAGTATGTCCATCCCTCCTGGACTCCTTTGTTTTCAAGGGCTGTTTCCCACGGTACCCTCTGAACCAGGCTCCTGAACAGGCTGAAATCTGCCCTCCGGAAGTCCAGCGTAGAGGTTTTATTGATGGCCCTTCTTGCATCCCTGAGTATTGAGAATTCTATTATTTCATGGTCACTGTGCCCCAAAATCCCCCAAAATCCACCCTGGGATCCCAAAAATCCACCCCGGGACCACCAAAATCCCACAAAACTGCCCAAAAATCTCGAAAACCCACCCAAAAATCCCCCAAAACCGCCCCAAAATCCTCTTTGAGACCCCCAAAATCCACTCCGGGCCCCCCAAAATCCCCCAAAACCACCCCAAAATCCTCCAAAAGCACCCCAAAGTCCTCCCCGGGCCCCCCAAAATCCACTCCAGGAGCCCAAAATCCACCCGGCACCCGCAAAATCCCCCAAGACCACCCCAAAATTAGTCTCGGGAGCGCAAAATCCACCCCGGGATTCCCAAAATCCCCCAAAACTGCCACAAAATCCACCCCGGGACCCCCAAAATCGACTCTGGGACTCCAAAATCCACCCCAGGACCCCCAAAATCCCCCCAAACCGCCACAAAATCCAACCCAGGACACCCAAAATCGACTCTGGGACTCCAAAATCCATCTCTAACCCCCCAAGTCCCCCAAAACCACCACAAAATCCACACAGACCATAAAAATCTACCTCGAGATGCCCAAAATCCACCCCGGGATCCCCAAAATCGACTCTGGGACTCTAAAATCCACATCTAACCCCCCAAATCCCCTAAAACCGCCCAAAAATCCACCCTGAGATCACCAAAATCTCCCTCGCCCAAAATCCACGCCGGGACCCCCAAAATCCCACAAAACCGCCCTAAAATCCACCCCTGGAGCCCCAAAATCCCACAAAACTGCCTCAAAATCCACCTTGAGACCTCCAAAATCCACTCTGGGACCACCAAAACCGCCCCAAAATCCACCCGGGGACCCCGAAAATCCCCCCAAACCGCCCCAAAATCCTCCAAAAGCGCCCCAAAGTCGTCCCCGGGCCCCCCAAAATCCACTCCGGGAGCCCAAAATCCAACCCGGGAGCCCAAAATCCACCCGGCACCCGCAAAATCCCCCAAGACCACCCCAAAATTTATCTCGGGAGCCCAAAATCCACCCCAGGACTCCCAAAATACTCCAAAATCCTCCCCGCGACCCTCCAGTTCCCCGGCCCCGCCCACCCGGCAATGACGTCACATATGGGCGGGGTCTGGGAGCACTGGGAGACATTGGGAGGGAACTGGAGGGTCACTGGGAGGGACTGGGAGTGATACTGGGGGTGAACTGGAAGGGACTGGGAGGGACCGGGAGGGGATTGGGGGAGACTGGGAGGGAACTGGAGGGTCACTGGGAGAACTGGGAGTGATACTGGGAGGGACTGGGAGGGACTGGGAGGGACTAGGAGTGATACTGGGGGTGGACTGGGAGGGACTGGGAGGGACTAGGAGTGATACTGGGGGTGAACTGGGAGGGACTGGGAGCGATACCGGGGGTCACCACCCCAAACAAGCCCCGCCCACCCGAAAATAAATCCCGCCCACCTCCAACCGAGAGGGCGGTGCTTTACCAGTGTCACGTGATGTCACTTCTGCCAATCGACAAGAGGGACACGCCCCCCCAGTTCAAACCAGTTCCCTCCCAGTGCCCCCTTTGGGTGTCCCTGCTTGTCTCATTTGCATAACCCCGCCCCTCAGAGAGCACCCTAATTTGCATGTCCATGCCCACCGGTCTGCATCCTTCTGAGTTGCCTTCATTTGCATAGCCACGCCTCCCACTGTCCCTTATTTGCATATCAACACCACTTCCCATTTCCTTGTCCTGATTCATTTGCATAACCCCGCCCCCAGGGTGACATCTCATTTGCATATTCACACCACTCCCCGCCTCCTTCACCTCGTCCTTATTTGCAAAACCTCACCCCTGACATACCCTCATTTGCATACCCACACCACTCTCCCTCTGTCCTGCCTTCATTTGCATGGCCCCACCCACCACGGTTCACTCTCATTTGCATACCACCCCAGGTCACTCACCCTCCCCAATTGTGTTGCCACGCCCCCATCGTTTGCATAACAAGCACTGCCCACAAACAAGCCTCATTTGCATAATTTGTTTTATTTGTGATCGTTGGGCATTATTTGCATGGACACGCCCCCAAAAGCGACCCCTCATTTGCATGGACATGTCCCAAAAGCAGATCCTCATTTGCATGGACACACCCCCAAAAAGAGATCCAGGCCCCCCCCAACTGACCCCGGGGACCCAAAATTGCCCCACAGAGTCCCCCAAAGTGACTCCAGGACCCCCAAACTGCCCCCAGGGACCCCCAAAACTGCCCAAGGGACCCTCTGACTGCCCCTGGGACCTCCAAAACTGCCCCTGGGACCCCCAAAACTAACCCAGGGACCCCAAACTGCCCCCACAGTCCCCCAAACTGCCCCTGGGACCTCCAAAACTGCCCCAGGGACCCCTAAAACTAACCCAGGGACCCCCAAACTGATGCCAGGGACCCAAAATACGCACCAAGGGACCCCTGAACTGCCCCCAGGGACCCCTAAACTGCCCCTGGGACCCCTAAAACTGCCCCAGGGACCCCCAAACTGCCCCCATGACCCCCCTCAGAAGTCCCAGATGTCGAGGCCCCCCCGGACGTGCCCGAAGCCCCTCAGGCAGCGCCGCTCAGAGCGACCTCCCCGTGAAACCACCTCGACCTGCACTTCCTGGCCCAGGGGGCCACCAGAACCGGCCCCATGGCCACCAAAAGCGGCCCCGTGGCCACAGCCCCTGTGGCCACCAAAACTGTCCCCGTGACCACCAGAATTGCCCCCATGGTCACCAGCTTGACCATCAGCCCCAGGGCCACCATCCCTGCAGCCACAGCCCCCGTGGCCACCAGTACCACCCCCGTGACCACCAGAACAGCCCCCATGGCCACCAGTTTGACTACCAGCCCCGGGGCCATCAGCCCTGCAGCCACAGCCCCCCTGGCCACCAGAACTGCCCCTGCGGCCACCACCCTCACAGCCAGTAGCCCCCTGGCCACCACCCCCCTCCTGGTGGCCACTACCCCCCTCCTGGTGGCCACCACCACCATTTCTAGCCCCCTCAACCCTGTGGCCACCACTCCCATCCCAGTGGCCATCATCCCCCTCTCGATGGCCACCACTCCCATCTCCGGGCCCCCCAACCCTGTGGCCACCACGGGGCCCATCCCAGTGGCCACCCCGCTCTCCCCCCTCACCCTCCCATTGCTCGTCCGCCCCGGTAGCCACCCTGACCCCACGCTTTCCCAACGCCAACTGCGGCCTCCCCTTGTCCAGGGCGGCCAGGAGGGCGCAGGCCATGCACAGGTCACCGCTGGCCACTGACCCGCAGCGCCCGCAAGCCCCTGGTGGCTCCCCCGCGCCTGGCGCCGCCCCCAGGGCCAGCCGGCGCCCTGAGTGGGCCAACGCGGCCACGGTCGCCGGCCGGGTGGCCTCCAGGTCCTTGAGGAGGGCGCGGGGGTGGCCCCGGAAGGCCAAGGGCGCGTGGTGGCACTCGGAACTGGCGTAGGAGAGCCCCAGGAAGTGGGCGTAGAGCACGATCTCCCTCTGCGCTGCATGACGCAGCGGCTTCAGCCGCGGCACCACCGGGGGGGCGGCGTTGGGTCGGGGGGGGGTCTGAGTGCGTTTCCTTGGGTTCCTGTTGAATTTCGTTGGGTTTCCATTGCTGTTTCTTAGGTTTCCCTTGAGTTCTGATGAATTGTTGTTGGGTTGCATTGAGTTTCTGTCGAATTTTGTGGGGTTTCTGTTGGGTTCCGATGACTTGTCATTGGGTTCCGTTGGGTTTCCGTTGGGTTCCGATGAGTTGTCGTTGGGTTTTGTTGGGTTTCTGTTGGGTTCCTTCTTGGTGGCCCCAGTGGCCTCATTGGCCTCATTGGCCTTGTTGGTGGCCCCAGTGGCCTCGCTGGTGGTCGTGGTGGCCTCATTGGCCCCAGTGGCCTCGTTGGTGGCCCTGGAGAACTCACTTGTGGCCGCGGTGGTCTCGTTGGTGGCCCCAGTGGCCTCGTTGGCTGCGCGCCGCAGCCGGGCCACGTCCCCACGCAGGAAGTTCATCAGAACCGTCTCGGCCACGTCGTCAGCATTGTGACCTGGGGGGGCCCAGTGACCACCAGTGACCTCCCAGTAACCACCAGTGACCTCCCAGTGACCACCAGTGACCTTCCAGTGACCAGCAGTGACCTCCCAGTAACACCCAGTGACCTCCCAGTGACACCCAGTGACCTCCCACTCACCCCAATCCCATCCCAGTTTCCCCCAAGCCCCCCCCAGTCCCTTCTACCCCCTCCCAGTCCCCCTGAATCCCCTCCCAGTCCCTCCCGCTCCCCTCCCAGTTCACCCCAGTCCCCTCCCAGTGCTCCCAAATCCCCTCCCAGTCCCTCCCAGTTCCCCCCAGTACTCACCAGTTGCTATCCGGTCGGCCCCCATCTCCCTGGCCCCCCTCTCCAGTGCCTCCCAGTTGCCTCCCAGTCCCCCCAATCCCCACCCAGTCCCTCTCAATCCCCTCCCAGCCCCCCCCCACTCCCTCCCAATTCCTCCCAGTCCCCTCCATTCCTCTTCCAGTCCCTCTCACTGCTCTCTAACCCCCTCCCAGTCCCCCCCAGTGCTCACCAGTCACTACCCACTCTGCCCCCATCTCCATGGCCCCCCTCCCACTCCCCTCCCAGTCCCTCCCAGTCCCCCCCAATCCCCTCCCAGTCCCCCCCAATCCCCTCCCAGTCCCTCCCAGTCCCCCCATCGCTCACCAGTCACTATCCAGTCAGCCCCCATCTCCCCGGCCCCCCTCTCCATTGCCCTCCTCCTGAGGACCCCGCAGAGGGTGCAGCGGCTCCTCCCGCCCAGCGCCGGCCCCGCCTGGTCCACGGTGAGCCCGAAGAGCTCCCGGTGCTCCACCACGAGCAGGGGCAGGGGCAGGGCCAGGGCCACCTCCCTGAGGGCCACCAGGGAGGGCTCTCGGTAGCCGGCGATGCCCTCGTCCACGGCCAGCAGCGCCAACCTCAGCCCCAAACTGTGGCACCGATCCAACCGGGACAGAACGTAGGCCAGCACGGTGGAATCTTTGCCCCCCGAGGCCGCCACGGCCACCCCCTGCCCTGGTTTGGGGGTCCCCGAGGGGTCCCCGAGCAGGGCACGGAGGGTCTCGGCCTCGAAGGCGGCGACGAAGCAGCGGCGGCAGAAGGGGAGGAGGGAGCGGGAGCGCAGCAGGGACGAGGGGTTGGGGCAGCGGGAGCAGCGAGGGGGGGGCATGGCCGGGCCTGCAGGGGGGAAAAAGGGGGAAAAAGAGGGAAAAAGGGTCAGAGGGAGGCGGGAATTCCAACAAAAAAAGGGGGATTCCCCATAAATGGGGGTTTTTGGGCCTAAAACAGGTGGTTTTGGTCCTAAAATGGACCAAAAAATGGGTATTTTTAGCCCTAAAATGGTTTGGTCCTAAAATGGACACTTTTGGTCAAAAAAATGGGTATTTTCGGTCCTAAAATGGGAGGTGTTTTTGGTCCAAAAATGGGTGGGTTTGGTCCTAAAATTGATAGTTTTGATAAAAAAAATGGGTATTTTTGGTTCTAAAACTGAGGGGAGGGTTGGTCAAAAAATGGGAATTCCCCACAAATGGGGATTTTTGGACCTAAAATGGGTGGTTTCGATCCTAAAATGGACACTTTTGGTCAAAAAAACAGGTATTTTTGGTTCTAAAATGGGGGGTGGTTTTGGTCCTAAAACAGACACTTTTGATTAAAAAAATGGGTATTTTTGGGCCTAAAATGGGGGGTGGTTTCGGTCCTAAAATGGACAGGTTTGGTCAAAAAAATGGGTATTTTTGGTCCTAAAATTAGGGGGAGGGGTGTTCAAAAAATGGGAATTCCCCAGAAATGGGGATTTTTGGGCCTAAAAAGGGTGGTTTCGGTCCTAAAATGGACATTTTTAATCAAAAAAATGGGTATTTTTGGTTCTAAAATGGGGGGTGGTTTTGGTCCTAAAACGGATAGTTTTGGTTAAAAAATGTGTATTTTTGGTCCTAAAATTGCAGGGGGGGTTGGTCAAAAATGGGAATTTTTGGGCCCAAATGGGTATTTTCAGGTCCAAAACCGGGAATTTTCAAAAACGCACAAACTTGGTTAAAAAAAAAATAGGAATTTTTAGTCCCCCAAATGGTCATTTTTACACCCAAACTGGTTATTTTTGAGAACTAAAATGCTCTTCTTTAGCCAAAAATGAGACTTTTTGGCCCCAAAATGTGAATTTTCAGCCCTAAATCGGTAGTTTTGGACCAAAAATGGGTATTTTTGGCCCAAGATGGATGTTTTTAGCCCCAAAACGGACACTTTTAGACACAAAATCAGTACTTTGGGTCAACACATGGGAATTTTCTGCCCCAAATTGGTAATTTTGGTCAAAAAAATGAGTATTTATAGTCTCAAAACAGGCATTTTTGAACCTAAAATAGGTAGTTTTGGACCTCAAAGGGGTATTTTGGGTCAAAAAATGGGATTTTTTAGCCCCAAAATGCGTATTTTTGGGCCTAAAACGGACATTTTTAGACCCAAAGTTGGTATTTTTGGCCAAAAAATGAGAATTTTTGGTCCCAAAATGGGGATTTTTGGAAGTAGAATGAGAGAATTTTGAACCTAAAATCCCCCTCAGAGCCCCCAACACTCTTCAGAACTCCCCCAAGAGTCCCCTTGGACCCCCCAAATCCCCCTCGGACCACCCAAATCCCCCCCCGAGACACAAATGGTTCCTCCCAGACCCCCCCCAAATCCCCCTCAGAGCCCCCAGATTCCCCCCTGGACCCCCCAACTCTCCCCCCGGGACACAAATGGTCCCTCCCAGACCCCCCCCCCAAAACCCCCCAAACCCCTCCAGACCCCCTCGGGACCCCCAAATCCTCCCCCAACGACCCAAATGGTCCCTCCCACAACCCCCCCAACCTCCCCAACTCCTCCCCCCACAACCCAAATGGTCCCTCCTCAGCCCCCTCAAAATCCCCCTCCGAGCCCCCCAAACTCTTCATAGAATCCCCCATAAACTCCCCTTGGACCCCCCAAATTTTTTTTTTTTTTTTTTTTCCCCCCTTTGGGACCGACATGGTCCCTCCCAGACCCCTCAAATCCCCCTCAGGGCCCCCAAATCACGCCGGGGACCCCCCAAAATCCCCCCTCCCGAGACACAAATGGTTCCTCCTAGACCCCCCAAATCCCCCGGGACCCCCAAATCCCCCCCATGGGACAGAAATGGTCCCTTCCTGGACCCCACAACCCCCCCCCCAGAGCCCCCAAATCCCTCCCTGGACCACCCAAATCCCCCCCCCAAAACCCTGATTGGTCCCTCCCAGACCCCCCAAATCCCCCTCAGAGCCCCCAAATCTACCCCCCGGACCCCCCAACACCCCCCCCCCGAAACAGAAATGGCCCCTCCCAGACCCCCCAAATCCCCCTCAGAGCCCCCAAAACTCTTCAAGATCCCCCCAAAACTCCCCTTGGACCACCCAAATCCCCCTCGAACCCCCCAACCTCCCCCTCCGAGACACAAATGGTTCCTCCCAGACCCCCCAAACTCCCCCTGGGACCCCCCAAGACCCCCCGTTCCCCCCCCCCCCCCCCCCCCCCCGTCACCTTCCGTTGGTTCGGCCCGTCCGGGGCCTCCTCGCGCTTTTCCCGCCGTACCCCGCGCGCGCTCAGGCCACGCCCACCGCCCCCGCAAACGACCAATCGTCGCCTTCTCTCCCACTCTTAACCCCGCCCCGCCCCGAATCGACCAATCCACGCGCGACTTCCGGGTGTAACCACGCCGCGACCCACTTCCGGGTCAGCGTGTCCAATCAGAGCGAAAAGGGGCGTGACCCGAGGGTCGTTAAGGTTCCGCCCACGGCGGAAATTTAAAGGGACCGCGGCCCCGAATTCGGGGCGGGGCTTAAACGGGAGGCGGAGCTTGTGGAAGGGCGGGCCTTGACGGAA